TTCGTTGAGAATAAGATATATTCGTGCAAGATTGAGAGCTACTAAATTTCGGTTTGCAATGATATAAGGTAGAACTGAATTATAGGAAGTAAGAATCTTTGAATAATCAAGTTCAGTAAAGAGAGTCTTAGTGAATTCTTTGAGCAGTGCTTCTAGTATAGAGTGAAGAATGCTAAAAGAAATGGTAATGGCTTCATTAATATCAGGGTTGTTTTCATGAATAAAATTAATAAGGAACTGACGTCACAATCCAGCCATTTTTTTAATTAAGTAGGAGTATGTAAATCTAAGTTCTTTAGAATATTCTGTTGCCGGTTTGATAACTTTACCAGAATAAATATCAATAAGATGAGGTCTAATAAATTCAAAGAGTTGGTATACAAGTGTATTATCAAATCTGGTATAAAGTTTCATAGTATCTGTAATAGGATATTTCTGAAATCGATCAAAGTCGTTAGAGGTATCACGTTTTTGCTTGTGTTCTGGTTCTTTTTGTTTATGGATTTTGTTTTTGTTCTTGGTTTTGGTTATGTTTGTGTTGTTGTTGTTCTTGTTCAAGAGTATTAGGCTTTTTGGAAAGTAGTTTTAAAGCTTTTTTAAGAAGAGTAATTTTGCTTTGTTTAGGCATAAAGTATAGTTTTAAGATAAAGGCTATACTTCTTTGTTGGTGGTTCATTGGGGTAGCAGGGGTACCGAATTTAAGCTTCATGTTTGGAACATATAATATATATTCTCTATGAATTAATCGGTTTTTAAAAAGACCAGCTATAGTATAGTTAGGTGCATGATTTGCTTGATTTGTAGATACACAAGGAAGGTTTTTAGTTCTGCAAAAAACACAGGTATGATAGTGTTGTAAGTGTGAAATAATAGTTGTAGAGTTGGGATCAGTTTAGACAGTTTGGAAGTTAGAAAAGAGGATACGTAGATTAGCTTGTTGGTGTTCAGCATGTATTTGTTCCTTTGTATTTGGTGATTTTGGCAATGCATCACTTTTTTGTAATTGATTATTAGAGATGCTATCGACAGAGGTTGTAGGTTGTCCAATAGCTGTGTGTTGAGTATGTAAAATTCTATAGTTTTCTGAGGTAAAGCTAATGTGATATTTACCACAATAGCATTTACCAATAGAAGGTTGAAGAGGTACTTGGAAGAAATGTTGTTTTTTATTTGAATCGTAAGCTTCTGGTTTGAAAGCTAATGGAAGAACTTGGAGTGAACTAATTTTGCTTTCTAGGATTCCTAGACCATAACGATCATAGTAGTTTTTATAATAGTAATCGAGGTTGTAAGAATCTGGCTCTTCTGTAATAAGTGTAGGTATAATGTCAAATTTAGAGATTTACAAGTTTCAGTTTGGGGTGTGACAAATAAGGGATGTGATGAATAAGAGGGTGTGACAAATAAGAGGAGATGACAAATAAGGGGTGTGATGAATAAGGTGTAACAATCGGCAGATTAACAGGATCGTCAGGAGGTAAAATTTGTGTAAATTTAATTAAAACCAAAATAATAAAGAGGCTTTTATATAAAAATAGATGAAATAAGATTAGAATTGTGTAAATTGATTAATAATATGAATTTGTAATTGGGACTGCAAGTTTGGGCATTCTAGGGGGAGCAGAATCCCCCAAAAAATAGAAAAAAAAAATTGCAAAAATTAGGCAGAGTTTTTGTAACGGAGTTTTGTAGTATTTTAATAATAAAATTTGAAGTTTTTATCCGTTTTGAATGTATTATATATCAAATTGAAGCTCTGGTTGAGCTTAATCATTTTCTATTAATGAGCAAGAAAGGTTTACTTAGTAAATTTTGAGTAAAGGGTAAAAATAGGAAATTTAAAAATATAGTTATAACTCAGTAACAAAGAGCTTTAGAGCTATAAAACTAGGCCGCCTAGAAGTAAAATTAAGTGTAGAACAACTTTACTTAAGCAGCCAAAAGTAGTTTACTTAATAAAATTTTTGAATAATAGCAATTGTTTTCAAGAGAAATTTGGTACAAGTGATCGTTGGGAAGAGTTAGTGATTTGTGTCCTGGTTTTTTATTATTACAGAGTTGTAGCCTTCTTAGTAAAATACAACCAAGTAATAAGGTCACCTGGTACAATGATTGACTATTGCAAATATATATGGGGTGGAGGTGTAGTTGCTCACTTAACTACACAGCAGCAGGCAAATGGATTAAGATATTAACAGTATATAAGATAGCTTTATTTAATACAAGAATGGTGATAAGCCTTGCCTGTAGAAATTACTCTAGAGAGGGAATATCACACTTTATAAGATAAGAAGGGTTAAAGGATATCAGAGTTTAAATGAAGTATAGAAACTTAAGAATTGGCAGGAAGGAGGAAAAAACACTATTTATATATCTTTTTACCTACAAGGAGGATACACAATGCACAGTAAATAAGTAATACTTGGCAGGTGAAGAAGGTGAACTTGTATAGAGGAAATAGAGAATCGTGTTGAGTAAAGAAGGTGATTGTGTTGTGTGAAGTAGAGAAAATATAAACATTACTCATCATGCTTATATTGATTTATATCTCATGTGGGGGAATTAGAGAACTTTGCTGCACAGTATTTTGTATTTAAAACATTTAAGACTTGTGTATAGGAATTAGATGTTTGTGCAGAAGAAGAAGGTGTCATATAAAAGAAGAAGGTGTTTGTGTGGAGGAAGAAGGTGAACTTGTGTTACTTTCTTGTATAACATTTTTGTGTTATCTAAAGTATTCTTTTGTATAACCTTGTATTATCTGAGATCATGTAAAGTAATGTGACTGTGCTACACTTCCAATGCCCAATTAGAATATTCCTATACAATTACTATAAAATATGCTATCTAAATATATAATAACTAATAGACACCTTCTATTTGTACACATAGTATATAAACACGCTCACATGATATACCTTTATTAATAATAAATTCACTGTACAGTCGAACCTCTCTATAATCACACCCTTGGTTTTAAGAATTTGGTGCTTATAGAGAGTTTGTGCTTATATAGAGGTTAAATTTTATAAGTGCTATATAAGTTGGTTTTAAAAATTTATGTGATTATAAGTAGATGTGACTATAGAGGAGGTGACTATAGAGAGGTCTGACTGTAGATAATAAAACAAATACAAAACTGCGAAAAAATTATTAGCCCTAAATGGCCTTTTTATAATTTTCTATTTGCTTTTCTACACCTGTCAGCTCCGATTTGCACTATTATATTAACATATTAGTATATAGTCCTAAATAGCCTTTTTATTACTCCCTATTCGCTTCGCTATGCCTATTGGCTCCGCTTCACTCTATTATACTAATACATTAGTGTATAGCACTAACTGGTCTTTTTATAACTCCCAATTCGCTTCGCTATGCCTGTCGGCTCCACTTCGCACCATTATACTAACGTATTAGTGTACAAATTATTTATAAGAAATTCTTTACCCTAACTATTAGGCAGTAGGTATGTATAAATATGCTAAACGTTTATCAAAATAGTGTATTGACTAAAATGTTTGGCGGTAATTTTTAAACATGCATAACACACTTTAAAAATAATATAAGTCCTCTGTTATAATATGTATGAACTTTTTACTAATTAACTTCAAGAGATGTGAAAATTGCGCTCCTACAAGGTGTTATACAGAAAAGTCAGGTATTTTGTGTGAGCATCTTATGACATTCATCTTAGATACGTATTAGGAAAGAAAATTAAATTGAAACTGATTAATAAAAATGTAAAGGCCATAAATAGTAGAGACAATAATAAAAAGAGAATCTTACCTTATTAATTATATTTCCCCCTTAAACATATGATTATCTAACTCAATAAGAATTTTGATCAAACTCAAATTGACCTAGCGAAGCAAGAAAAACTAAAAGCATAAAATACGGAGAATAAATTTAGCACCAACTCTTATCTAATTCTTACCCTAACCATCCCTAATTCTAATTTTGAATATAATATGACTCAATTTCGTCAATGAATCAATATACAATAAATAAACGCTACATATAACATAACAACTCTAAATAACATTTTAACACGTCTTTGTATAGTATCCATATTCCTTACATTTCCCACACTTCCGACCTTTTGTATCATTCATTGAGTTTTCTACACTAATTGAAGTATCATCTTCAATTACATTAATATGTGTACTATCTGATAGAACTTCCTTTCCCTTATATAAACCTTTTTCAACATTCGCCTTTAATCTTTTTGGAGGCCGTCCTTTATGTTTGATAACAATAGGATTATTAACATCAGTTAAATTTCTGACACTGGTTTGTCCACCTTATTCTGAATATCATAAATAAAGGATTTAAAAATATTCAATAATTTATGTTGCATATCTGCTTTAATAGCGCAATTGATAGCCTTCTTTGATAACCCAGCTAATTCTGCATATACAGCTTTAGTTGATTTTATAGTTGAATGATAATTATGTGAATCAGTCCGAATAGATAAAAAATGCTGAAAACTGATACTTTGTTTGAATAACACATTTTCTTCTAATTGTATTATGTCACATACTCAGATAGACAGATACTGTTGTAAAAGATCGGTTGGTTTAATATCAGGATCTAAGTACTATCGATTTGGGATCATACTTATATGAAAGGTAGCAAATTTTGAATAGGTACTGACACGAAAAAAATGGTGACACACTAATCCCTTATTGATCAAAAGAAGACAGGTATATAAATGTGTACCTTCATTGGGCAAAATCACATAGTGTTCTACTCCTTGGATGCCAGTTGCATGTACATTCCATACTTCTAAGATCGCTTCTTGAGGTATATTTTTAACCAGAGAGCTAAAAAGAATCTGTCGCGTATCCTGCCCCTGTTCTCTAATTCCAATACTCATTTCTTCGTTATCACCCTCTGACTATCATGATAAAAAAATACAGAATTAGTTGATTAAACATATATTAATAGTAAATTTTCTTTAACTGTATATTGTTTTGCTCTATATAAATAGATTGTTTCTATTATATTTCTCTATTTGGCATTTTAGCCTTATAATCCTAATACTGTACTACTAATCTTGTCTTTTAAATCCATCCTTAATTAAATTTATACTATATCACAATTAATTTCAGTAAAATTACTTACTTCTATCAAATGACGCCACTCTGTAACTCGATTAATATCATAGCATACAGATTGATTAATTTGAGATCTTTGTTTCCCAAGTATCACAGGAGTTAAAAAGCTTTTAATGATCGCATCTACTTGGCCAAAGAATCTTTCGTTTAGCATTGGCATACCAACTGTAGGTAAGAAATTTCGTTCAGCTTCAAACTTTTCAAAATGCTCCTCATTCTTAATGTGATCTTTGATGCTAACTAACAATTCGCATAATGATGTAATATGACCAACTTTATCATGTATGTGTTTGTTAATCGACTCAACACGCTGTGTACTTTGTACACCAGCTATAAACCACCTATGAACCCAGGGTATTGCCCACAAATGTTTAGTAATGTAAAGAGTATCTGATAAATATTTTGATGCTGCTGGATATTGTTCAATTAATTCGTTCCATCTATGTTCAAATAGTTCTTCACAAAGGGAATTCCTATAAATATAAAATTTGCAACGAAATTCTTCAAATTGGTTGCCTAGTTTTCCTTTGAGGTTTTTCCGTAGGTTCAAATCTATGTGAAAAATGCATAACAAATATTGTGAATTGGGATAAATGTCCTTGATCAATCTGATCATTGAAGGATCTAAATCGGTGAAAACAATTCCAGGAGAAATACCCGTTTCAATAAATATATTTTCAAATATCCATCAGTAAGTATCTAATGTCTCATCCTCAATTATAGTACATGCCACGATCCTGGTTTGGTAATTATTATCAATTACGGCTATGATACATAGCATCATTTGAAATTGGTTGGTATTATAAGTGCTATCTACTAAGATAACATCATTATATTTAATGTATAACTCTCTTTGTACAGGAAAAATCCATAAAAGTGAAATTAACCTTCTTGAAATTGGATCCAGTTTAGTTTTTATAATCCAAAGTGGTTCTAATTCCTTCCAATCCATTAATAACTAAAGCATTTGTGAGGCGTCTGTGTCTCCTGGTTTATTTTTTTTCTAAACTGATAAACCACAGTATATAAGTCATGCTTGTATATAGGTTGATTTGGGTAGTCATGTCATAATAAGGGATATATAGAGGCCGAATCCATTCGCCTCTGGACAACATACTTTTCCACATCGGCTAACATTTCTTTCGTAAATTTCCGAAACCGTGGGGCTATTTCTTGGATTATGAGAGTGAGTGGGTGGTTATGTTCATTCTTAAATGAGTTTATTTTTACAATATTACTTGCTTTAGGACAAGTTAGATTGAGCTTCCATTGACATGATATTTGTTGAGAATGAGTGTTATGCCGTTTTGTTAGATCTGAAGTAACTTGTGGAGTATGAACACCAGATTTAGTACATTCGTAAGTGGCCCTTCGCATTACACCTTGACTAATTCCACTTGTTCTGATCTTATAATTGAAACCCTCTTTTAACACAAATCTATATATCCAATCCTTAAATTCTTCCCAGTCAGAGAAGGTAAGTTCGGGCGTTAATTCTAAAGGATTGGGTTGTTCTTCTGATTCATCAGATTCATTGTCGACCAAGTCATCCCAGTTAGAGGAAATAAGTTCGGAGGTCAATTCAGATGGCTCAACTTGTTCGTCAGATTCGATATCCATCGAAGTATAAGCAAGTGGTCCCGGCTCAACTTGTTCATCAAATTTAAAATCCACCAAAGTATAAGCAAGTGGTCCTGGCTCAACTTGTTCATCAGATTCGATATCCATCGAAGTATAAGCAAGTAGTCCCAGATTTGGTTTATAAACCTGTTAAATAGATACTTTAATTAGAGTAAATACTCTACAAACAGACCAAAGAACAAAGTAGAGTTTATATAATCATGTGGTCCTGTATCAAGATCAAAGTAGCAACGTTTTGTCCATTATCAATAAAAATTTTTTGGCATGTATCATTCATCTTATTAAAGGAAGTAATTATTATTGACATAAAAATATAAAAAGCAAGATAAGAAATATTGTAAGTGTTAACAGCGAGCTATTATTATACAGAATTAAAGAGCAAAGAATTATACTTACGTGGTCCGGTGTTAAAGTCAAAGCAACATCCTGATCATCCTCAATAATATCCTGATCTTTTTTGTTGGTCTAACATACCAGTAACAGAGTAAAACGAATTGTATGGTTAAAGAAAAAAGGTTACGCTGATAAGAATACATAAAGAATGGTAAGGGTGTTAATAAGTAACGGAAATAAACTAATGTTATGAGGCTGGAAAATGATGCAAATCAGGATAGTCACATGTTCTAACGTCAAAGTTGAAGAAGCATCATGTTCGTTATTGAAAATTTTTTCCTGCCTTTTTTTATTCATTGTAATCTTAGTGTTTAAAAAAGTGCTACTAAGCGATTCTAACGAGAACAAGTGAAAAAAGAGTATGTGTTGAATGACAAACTACTATTTATTAAATTTTTATGATGCCGCAGTGATATGATTGATGATATATATCACGTGATACTGACGATCCATGTTTGCACACTATGTATATATTAATAAATTTCCTAACTAATATATAATAATAAATACTATTTTAACTATATATATAAAAATACAAATATCAAATATTTATAACTAAAATA